ACGCACATTACAAACCAACTTGATGTATGATATTAATTAGTTTGGTCTAATAGTCCAGATACTATTCATTCATTGCAAGTATAAAATAATACATAAACGGATTTTTCTAGTGTCCAGATTTCTTTTTACGTTTCTCATCTTAACTCTTATTTTCAAATGATCACCCATCTCACTAATGATAGGCTCCATAAATATACATTTACTCCATAAATATCTTTTTTAAAGAAAAATTACATTAATTTTTCATTGTTCTTTTGTGAGTAAAAGGTTTATCGACTACGCTGACCGACCCCACATAGAACACGCCTCATATGAACCACATTTGAGGAGATATTTCAGAGCAAACTCAACGAATGAGAGTCGTGGATGCATTCAAGCATGTCTCCTACATCATTTGAACTTGAACCTGGTGTGTATTTGAGCAAAGTTGCTCCGTCCTTTTACCAACTAAGCTACACGTCTGAGGGCTTTATCTTTTACTATTTACAACAAAATAATACCCTTACTCACCCAGCTGCATTGCATGAGTAGGGGTTGGCTCAAATGTTAACCAAGTTTATTGTGTTAACTTTGTTAACCAATCTTGGTCATTGATTCTTACAATAAACGGTTGTAATTTATCATATTAAAATTTTAATTTTTTTTTTAAATCTACAATTTCACAAACATATGTTAACTAAGTGGAAAAGGGTATTTATGTAACTTCCATATCATTAATTGGTAGTTATAGAATCAAAAAAATTCATGATTTTTGTTAATGTAAGAACCATATGAACACATCTATTTATATGAATCATTATGTCAAATATGAACAAATATGACATATATATGAACTTGGACTGCATAGCATTTATGAACACAATATGAACATAATAAGAATAGCTGCTACATAAAAGGAAATAAATAAAAAAACAGATATGAACACAATATGAATAACTTATGAACAATAGTTCATTCATTATGAACACATTCAGGAGCGAGTCAATATTGAGATATGCAACTAATGTACATATGAACATAATATGAACACTTGTGAATAATAGTTCTTTCATTATGAACACATTCAGGAGCGAGCCAATTTTGAGATATGCAACTAGTTTACATATGAACACAATATGAACAACTTGTGAATAATAGTTACTTCATTATGAACACATTCAGGAGCGAGCCAATGTTGAGATATGCAACTAGTGTACATATGTACACAATATGAACACTTGTGAACAATAGTTACTTCATTATGAACAATGAGTTTATCCATAATAACTTAACATTATTACCGGGTCTACTCTACCAATCACAAATTCAAAAACATTATAGATAGAAAAATCAATATTATAAAAAACAAGATCAATAATAAATTAACAAAAATCATGAGATTTTTTGATTTTGTAACTCCCAATTAATGATATGGAGTTACATAAAAAAGAAAATTTCATATTTACCCTTGTCATTAAATTATAAGATGAATATGAACCTATATATAAGATGGTTTGTCATTGGTTGAAAATGGTTAACAAAGTTAACACAATAAACTTAGTTAACATTTGAACCTGACACACACACACACTCACTCACTCTCTCTCTCTCTATATATATATATATATATATATATGCATACATATATATAGGGGCCCATTCAAGGGAGAACTGATTAGTTTATGGTAAATGTGAGATCCAATTTCAACCACAAATCAACGGATAAATTAGAAAATTAATAATTATGGTAGTTTGAGTTAAAATTATAATTAGAGAACATTTTAGGTATTTTTAAAAAACTCATCTCTCTTCTCTCCTCTCTCATCTCTCCGACCTCCAATCTCCGGCCTCCGGTGAACATTAATCCGGCAGGTACCAAGTAATCACAAAGATACACAATGTGATACTCATTGTGATATACTGTGATACCATTGTGATACCAACTCAAACCTTAAAAACAAAGATACACAATGTGATACCCATTGTGATATACTGTGATACCGATTTCATCGGAGGCCGGAGATTGGAGGTCGGAGAGATGAGAGAGGAGATAATAGTTTTTTAAAAATACCTAATATGTTCTCTAATTATAATTTTAACTCAAACTACCATAATTATTAATTTCTTAATTTATCCGTTGATTTGTGGTTGAGATTGGACCTCACAGTTACCACAAACTATTCAGTTCTTATTTAATTTGGCCCATATATATATATATATATATATATA